GTAGGATAGGTGGGTCAAATGGTGGTTCCATTCCCAATTTTCTGAGGAATCCGCATACTGCTTCCCATAGTGATTGCACAATTTGCAGTTCCACTAGAGTGTATGAGTGTACCTTTTCCCCCACATCCTCGTCAATATTTATTGTTGCCTGTATTCTTAATGATTGCCATTCTGACAGGAGTGAGATGAAATCTTAGAGTAGTTTTGATTTGCATTTCTCTAATTGCTAGAGATGTTGAACACTTTTTCATATATTTGATGATAAATTGTATTTCTTCTTCTGTGAAGTGTCTGCTCAGTTCCTTAGCCCATTGATTGATTGGGTTACTTGTTTTGGGGGTGTTACGTTTTTTGAGTTCTTTATATATCCTAGAGATTAATGCTTAATCAGAGGTGCATGTGGTAAAGATTTTCTCCTAACCTGTAGAATCTCTCCTCACATTATTGTTTCCTTTGCTAAGAAGAAGCTTTTTAATTTGAATCCATCCCATTTATTGATTCTTGATTTTACTTCTTGCACTTTAGGAATCTTGTTAAGGAAGTCATGTCCTAGGCTGACATGATGAAGATTTGGGCCCATTTTTTCTTCTATTAGGCACAGGGTCTCTGTTCTAGTTGTCGGGGTTTTTAGTCCTGGTTCCCTCCCGACCTGCAGGAGAGATGGTGAGAACATGCCTCAGCCAGGAAGAGCCAAGAAAGGAGAGGGCCGACTGATCGTCCACACCCAGCCCTCCCTTGCCGGAGGACAATCAGACATGTAAGGGAGACCAGTCCAGGCTGGAGCTCATTTATTGAGGAAGCACACACAGCTAATATAAGGCACAGGAGCCAATCAGGATAAAGGTCAGCAGGGTGAGGAGAGTTCACATGTACACCCATCCTACAGGCAGTAATGGGACACGAGGGCGGAAGGGTTCTGAACCTATCCTAGAGGTGGTCCGATTTTTCATCACAACCCACGGTAAGGCCTTCTGGCTGATCGCCAGGCACCATCTTAGCCATGTGCGGGCCCCAAGACCAGGAAGTAAGCATCAGTCTGCAAGTTAGGTTTCCTTTTCTCCATCATAGGTTTCTATTTCTCTGATGTGACGTGCCCTACACTAATGACTAAGTCTTTGATCCATTTTGAGTTGATTTTTGTGCAGGGTGAGAAATAGAGGTTTAATTTCGTTTTGCTACATATGGATTTCCAGTTTAGCCAGCACCATTTGTTGAATAGATTATCTTTGCTCCAGTGAATGTTTTTGGCACCCTTGTCTAGTATGAGATAACTGTATTTATGTGGGTTTGTCTCTGTGTCCTCTATTCTGTACCATTGGTCTACAAGTCTATTTTGGTGCCAATACCGTCCCATTTTTGTTACTATAGCTCTGTAGTATAGTTGAAGGTCTGGTATTGTGATGCCTCCTACTTCACTTTTTTTGCTAAGGATTGCTTTAGCAATTCTGGGTCTCTTATTTTTCCAAATAAATTTAATGATTGCTTTTTCTATTTCTATGAAGAATGTCATTGGTATTTTAATAGGAATTGCATTAAATCTCTATAATGGTTTTGGTAATATGGCCATTCTGACAATATTAATTCTGCCTATCCAGGAGCATGGGAGATCTTTCCATCTACTAAGGTCTTTCAATTTCTTTCTTTAGTGTTCTGTAGTTTTCATTGTAGAGGTCTTTCACCTCTTTTTTTAGATGGATTCCCATTTTTTTTTTCGCTATTGTGAATGGAGTAGTTTTCCTAGTTTCTCTTTCAGTGGATTCATCGCTGATGTATAGAAATGTGTTTGATTTATACGTGTTGATTTTATATCCTGCTACTTTGCTGAATTACTTTATTAGTCCTAGAAGTTTTCTGGTGGGATTTTTTGGATCTTCTAGATATAGAATCATGTCATCGCAAATAGTGATAGTCTGAGTTTTTCTTTATCTCTTTGTATCCCTTTATTTTTTTTCTTTTTTCTAATTGCTCTGGCTAGAGTTTCAAAGTTGATGTTGAATAGAAGTGGTGAAAGAGGGCATCCTTGTCTTGTTCCAGTTTTTAGTAGGAATGCTTTCAATTTTCTCCATTTAGAATGATGTGTTGGGTTTAGCATATATAGCTTTTACAATGTTGAGGTATGTTCCTACTATCCCTAGTTGTTCTAGTGTTTTGAAAATGAAGGTGTGCTGTATATTGTCAAATGCTTTTTCTGCATTTATTGATATGATCATATGATTCTTATTTTTAAGTCTATTAATATGATGAATTATGTTTATTCATTTCCACATGTTGAACCATCCTGGGATGAATCCCACTTGATCGTGATGCCCTATCTTTTTGATATGTTTTTGTTCAGAGCCCGGTGGACAACGTGGATTTTGCCCAGAATGTGGATTTCCCCAGAACGTGTTTGTAGAGTGCCAGAGTGAGTTCGGGAATAAAGAGTTGCTGTTTGAATCTACAAGGCTGTGAGTGGCTCGTGATTTTGTGCCCAGCCAGACTACGGCATTTTTGTATGTGATTTTCCAGGACTTTATTGAGAAATTTGCATCTATGTTCATCAGGGATATTGGTTTAAAGTTTTCTTTTCTTGATGTGTCTTTGTCAGGTGATATTAGTCTTGTAGAATGAGTTTGGAAGTGTTTCCTTGTTTGCTATTTCATGGAAAACTTTGAGGAGTATTGGTGTTAATTTGTCTTTGAAACTCTTGTAGAACTCGGCTGAGGATCCATCTGGTTCTGGGCTTTTCTTGGTTGGTAGGTCTTTGATGGCATTTTCTATTTTATTACTTGAAATTGATCTGTTTAAATCATGTATGACCTCCCAATTCAGTTTGGGTAGGTCATATGTCTCTAGAAATCTTTTAGATACAGAATCATGTCATCAGCAAATAGTGATAGTTTGAGTTCTTCTTTACCTATTTGTATCCCTTTAATTTTTTTCTTTTTTCTAATTGCTCTGGCTAGAGTTTCAAAGTTGATATTGAATAGAAGTGGTGAACGAGGGCATCCTTGTCTTGTTCCAGTTTTTAGTGGGAATACTTTCAATTTTCTCCATTTAGAATGATGCTGGTGTTGATATCTTCAATATTTTGTGGTTTATTGGAATATAATTTTTCAAAATAGTTTCTAATTATTGTCTGAATTTCAGATGTCCATTGTGATATTTCCTTCATCATCTTGTATTTTAGTAATTTGAGTTTTCTCTCTTTTGCTCTTCAATAGCATGACAAGGGATCTATCTATTTTATTTACTTTTTCAAAGAACCAACTTTTTTTGTCAATATTTCAGTTGTTTCTTTTGTTTTGATTTCAGCTCTGATTTTAATTATTTCCTGTCTTCTACTGCTTTTGGTGTTGATTTGTTCTTCTTTTTCTAGGGATTTGAGATGTAGTATTAGGTCATTTATTCATTAAATTTTTATTCTTTTAATCAATGCACTCAATGCAATAAACTTTCCTCTTAGTACTGCCTTCATAGTGTCCCAGAGATTTTGATATGTTGTATCAATGTTCTCATTTACCTCTAAGAATTTTTTAATTTCATCTTTGATTTCTTCTACTATCCACTGATAATTCAATAGTGTATTATTCAGTCTCCATTTGTTTCAGTACCATGTATTTTTATTTTATTGTTGATTTCTAATTTCATTTCATTATGGTCTGATAGAATGCAGGGTATTATACTAACAGTTCCTTTGTGGCATAAGGTATGTTCTATTATACAGAAGGAGCCATTGCTGCTGAGAAGAAAGTATATTTGCTCTTTGTGCTTTTCTGGATGAAATATTCTATATATGTCTGTTAAGTCTAAATTATTGATTGAATTATTTATTTCTATAGTTTTCTTATTTAGTTGATGTTTGGAAGATCTGTCCAGTAGTGAGAGAGGTATGTTAAAATCATCCAGTATTATTGAATTGTGGTCTATTTGACTCTTGAAATTGAGAAGGATTTGTTTGATGTACATAGATGCTCCATTGTTTGAGGCATAAATATTTAGAATTGTTATGTCCTATTTGTATATACTTCCCTTAAGAATTATAAAATGTCCTTCTTTGTCTCTTCTGATTAACTTTGGTTTGAAGTTCATTTTATCTGAGATGAGAACAGAAACCCCTGCTTCTTTATGCAATCCATATGAATGATGTGTTTTTTCCCATCTTTTCACCTTCAGCCTCTGGATGTCTTTTTGCCCATGAGGTGAGTCTCTTGAAGACAGCATATTGTTGATCTTGCTTTTTAATACAATCTGCCAGTCTGTGTCTTTTGATTGATGAGTTTAGGTTGTGAACATTCAAGGTTATTATTGACATATGATTTGTATTCCCTGTCATTTTGATTTATTTTTGGTTTTTGATTTGTCTCCATTTCTCATTTGGTTGGATGTCCCTTTAGTGTAGATCCTCTCTTTACTGGTTTTTCACTTTTTTTTTCACTTCATCCTCATGGAATATTTTGTTGAGAATTCTCTGTAGTGTAGGCTTTATCATGGAATGTTTCAATTTCAACTTCAAATCTGAAACTTAATTTTGCTGGATATAAAATTCTTGGTTGGCATCCATTTCCTTTCAGAGCTTGAAATACATTATTCCAGGACCTCCTAGCTTTGAGGGTCTGGGTTGAGAAATCAGTTAAGATCCAAATTGGTTTCCCCCTAAATGTAATTTGATTTTTTTTCCTCTCACAGCCTTTAAGATTTTATCTTTATTCTGTTTGTTAGTCATTCTCATTATAATGTGTCTTGGTGTGGGTCTGCTGTAATTTTGTACATTTGGGGACATGTAAGCCTCTTGTATTTGATTTTCTATTCCATTCTTTAGGTTTGGGAAATTTTCTGCTATTATATCATTGAAAAGATTGTGCATTCCGGGGGTCGCTGGACCTGCGGGGGCAGCCGGGGGCGGAGCAGCGCTGGAGGCGGCGGGTGGCCGGCCTGCGGGGTGGGAAGCCTTAGCGGGCCCCAGGTAAACAAAGTGCTGCGCAGTGCTGTCCCCGCCGCCCGCTGCTCTCCGCTGAGCCATGGAGATCGACACCGAGATCAGCCGCAAGATCCGGAGTGCCATTAAGGGGAAATTGCAAGAATTAGGAGCTTACGTTGATGAAGAACTTCCTGATTACATTATGGTGATGGTGGCCAACAAGAAAAGTCAGGACCAAATGACAGAGGACCTGTCCCTGTTTCTAGGGAACAACACAATTCGATTCACCATATGGCTTCATGGTGTATTAGATAAACTTCGCTCTGTTACAACTGAACCCACTAGTCTAAAGTCTTCTGATACCAACATCTTCGATAGTAACGTGCCTTCAAACAAGAGCAGTTTCAGTCGGGGAGATGAGAGAAGGCACGAAGCTGCAGTATCTCCCCTTGCCATTTCTAGCAGTAGACCTGAAAAAAGAGATTCCAGGGTTTCTGCAGGTTCACAGGAGCAGAAAACCACTAATACCAGACAGACTTATGATAAAGGAGCTGCAACCCGACTAATGTCAACAGTGAAACCTCTGAGGGAGCCAGCACCCTCTGAAGATGTGATTGATATTAAGCCAGAACCAGATGATCTCATTGATGAAGACCTCAATTTTGTGCAGGAGAATCCCTTATCTCAGAAAAAACCTACAGTGACACTTACTTATGGTTCTTCTCGCCCTTCCATTGAAATTTATTGACCACCTGCAAGTCGAAATGTAGATAGTGGTGCTCATTTAAACAGGTTGCAGTTTCAGCAGCAGCAAAACAGTATTCATGCTGCCAAGCAACTTGATGTACAGAACAACCGGGTGTATGAAACAGGACATTTGTGTGAACCAGAAGTGCTTAACAATTTAGAAGAGACTTATAGTCCCTTCTTCAGAAACAACTCAGAAAAAATGAGTATTGAGGATGAAAACTTTCAGAAGAGAAAGTTGCCTGTGGTGAGTTCAGTTGTTAAAGTAAAAAAGTTCAATCACGATGGAGAAGAGGAGGAGGAAGATGATGATTATGGCTCCCGAACAGGAAGCGTGTCCAGCAGTGTATCTGTGCCAGCAAAGCCTGAAAGGAGACCTTCTCTTCCACCTTCTAAACAAGCCAACAAGAATCTAATTTTGAAGGCTATATCTGAAGCTCAAGAATCAGTAACAAAAACAACTAACTATTCTGCTGTCCCACAGAAACAGACACTTCCAGTTGCTCCAAGAACTCAAACTTCTCAGGAAGAATTGTTAGCAGAAGTAGTCCAGGGGCAAAGCAGGACCTCCAGAATAAGTTCCCCCATTAAAGAAGAGGAAGCAAAAGGAGATAATATAGAAAAAATCAAGGAACTCAACAGAGGCAATTATTATCCCGACTGCAAATTGACCCAGTAATGGCAGAAACACTGCAGATCAGTCAAGCTGAGATGAGTGAACTGAGTGTGGTACAAAAACCAGAAAAGATTTTGGAGCGCTGCAAGTACTGGACTGCTTGTAAAAATGGGGATGAATGTGCATACCATCATCCGATTTCACCTTGCAAAGCCTTCCCCAGTTGTAAATTTGCTGAAAAATGTTTGTTTGTTCATCCAAATTGTAAATTTGATGCAAAGTGTACTAAGCCAGATTGTCCCTTTACTCATATGAGTAGAAGAATTCCAGTACTGCCTCCAAAACCAGTTACAACACCAACACCATCTTCTAGTAGTCAGCTCTGCCGTTACTTCCCAGCATGTAAGAAAATGGATTGTCCCTTCTACCATCCAAAACACTGTAGATTTAACACTCAGTGTACAAGACCGGACTGTACATTCTATCATCCCACCATTACTGTACCACCAAGACATGCCTTGAAATGGATTCGACCTCAAACCAGTGAATGACGCCCAGTCCTATCTGGTGGAAGATCATGCAGTTTGAAAGGTTCCATCTACTGATGAAAGATAATTCTACAGAATTTGTCGAATCTTTGAAACTTGGAATATATTGCTTTCATAACATGAAGTTTATTGTCTATCTGAAGTGTCTAATTTTTCAAGTTTGTAAGTTCATTAAGTAGTTTTAACATTGGGTGTTTTGTTGTTGTTTTGATTATGAAAATACAGTTTAAGGAAAAGCTAAATTCTATTAAAACATTTGAGGCATGTTTATACACTGCTGCTTCAGTCTCAGCACATGCCATCATTGTTAGTGATGGTTCTTTCAGTTTAGGACCACTGGCTGTACTGAGGAGTGCTGTTATTTTGAAAGCAGAATTGCTTTCACTCTTCCCAAAGATGATATGATGCTTGTAGTCCACCATGAAAACAGGAGTGGCCAAAAGTATTGAGGCAGCTTAAAATAGTCACTCAAATCTGTTTTAATTTTTAAAAGAATTTAGTTAGAAAAACATGGTAGTACAGGCCTCTGAGTTTGAGTGCCACTTTGGTGCAGTGGTCCCTACGTCCCTTGCCTTCTGTGAAAGGAGTGGGATGGGCATAAACAAGAAAGCAATTGGAATGACAAGTGCAAAAAATATGAACAATTCCTTTAAAATACTTTCATTTACTATTAACATACTTTTTAAATAAACTTTTTGGGGAACTACATTGTCACAAAATATACAAAAATTTTTACAAGTATATACATTAGGATCAGAGAAAACAAACTTTTAAACAGATTATAAATATATATTCCCACATTCTGAAAAATAACATTCTCAGAAATAACTCCACAGAAAATACACTTGGTTACTACTGAAGATCATTTTTGAAATGTAAAAATTAGATTTAAGTCATATTTTTAAATGACAGAGCTATATAATTACAGAGATCAGATGGGTAAACTGCAAGATAGGATGAAACTTTTGGCCTACTGTATTTATTGAGTTTTGTGTGTGGTTTTTAAAATTGTTAAGGCAAGATGTGTCCAATGCTTTAGAATTAAATAACAAACAGATAATTGATTTTATTGATGTATAGTAGTGTTTTTAAAAATTAAATCTTAAAAAGTGGTTAGTAAAGAGTGAATTAATGCAGATGGGATAATAAATATTCAGATGTTTTCAGGACCAAATTAACTGTTTAAAAAAAAAAAAGATTGACTTAGTCATATTCTTGAAGGATGGATAATAAACCCACATCTATAAAAAGCATTTTAAGATCATAAAGCCAGGCTTCTACTGTTGTGATCACTGGTTTTTCCATTGGGAGAAGAAACAACTAGTTGTTAAACCATTTGGTGAGCTGCACTTGGCTGTGGAGATCCCAAAATGAAGACTTGAAACACTGAAAGAACAAAGCACACAAGGGCGGTACAACCACTGTGCTAGGCTAGGTGAGGTGACAGTCCCCTTCATTCTCAGAGTGCTCCACTGAATTTAAGGCATTTGTTCATTTCAGTGTTGGTGCTTTGCATCTCTGCAGAAGAAATTTGTTTTTAAATGATTTATTTAAACTATCATTTATAAATGGTTTCTAGTTTTCATAGTTCCATTGGAACAAGGGCTTATGTGGTTTAGCGTAAATCCTTTACATGGAAATAACATGCTAAAATCTGATTGTTTTAATATTTATCTTTCAGTTTGTGGGCAGCTTAAAATTGACCCTAAAATATTTGTTGGTTGGTCTAACAGAGTCTAAAATGAACCACTATAAAAACAGAAGGGGGATGAAGATGGTTGGTGATAATGAAGTAAATAATACCAAAGTGTGTGATGTGCTTTGGCATGCATGTATAGACATAAAAGAATTTGGACTACAGTGGCCACCAGTCTCAAGTTGTAAATTCAGGAGCATAAATGCTGCACACAAAAATAATTCTCTAGGCTAAAAAAATATAGGGCAGATTTTATGTGGTCATGTTACACCTTCCCTTAGTTGATGGTAATACAGCAAGATGGTAAGATGCCCACTTAAGTCAAGGTGACCTTCAGTCAGGAAACTGCCATAGCAGTGATTAAGTGATTAAGGCTGACTTACCAGGTTAGTCACTTTGATAGACAAAAATGCAATGGAAGCAGTTTGTGCTATATAGATTACTTCCTTAAGAATATAGTTTGACTATATTGTGATGGAATTGAAATTTTTGTCTTCCTCAAAACGACACACTTAATAATGAAAATTTAAAACTACAACAGGCTCAAATTTGCAGTAATTTTCTTTTTCGTGAGGTTGGCCCTGGATGCCTTTTCCTTTAATTTCTTCATAAAATATGTTGAATAGAATTAATGTAATCTAAAGTTTTGTTTAATTTAGGAAATCCCGCCCCCCTTTCTTTTGTGGTACTGGGGATGTAACCCCCAAGGCCTTGTGCACGCTAGGTAAGCACTGCTTCCACTGAGCAATACCCCCACAACCTTATTTATTTATTTATTTATTTAATTTTGAGATGGGGTTTTGAGTTTCCCAGGCTGGCCTTGGACTTGTGATCCTCCTGCCTCAGTCTCCTCAGTAGCTTGCATTGGAGTTGTATACCACTATCCTTGGTTTAGGGAAATTTTATTTATTTATTTTTTGGTACTGGGAATTGAACCCAGCCTGGGATGCTTAACCACTGAGCCACATCCCCAGCCTTTGAGACGGGGTCTAAGTTGCTGAAGCTGACCTCAAAACTTGCAATCCTCCTGCCTCATCCTCCCAAATCACTGGGATTTACAGATATGTGCTACCACACCCAGCTAGGACAATCTTTTATTGTGAATAATGACAGAATATAGTCTATGTGTCAAGTTTCTTTAATCCCTCATTCAACCCTTGAGAGGCAGCTATTTTACTTTTAAAACTGACCAGGTTCAATCACTGATTAGGCTTTCTGTGATGTAATTTAGTCATTTTAGTATTCCCAGTGTTGGCCACAGAAAATAGATATTGGGAATCTTCATTATGTATTACCAAACTAAACTAGGAATCCCAGAAATCTAAGGGTTTCTATTGCCTATTATACTATAAAAGAAAATAACAGTAAATTAAAAATTTATAGGACCAGTAGTACATCTTTAACTTCTTTACATTTAGAAAAATATATTTTTAAGCAGCACTCTATTTAATTTTCAGTCTTCAAGAATCAGTAGATAGACTAAAACAGCAAATTCCTGAACAGTGATTACTGATCTTTGGCAGCATTTAAAGTGAAAAGGACTGTGGATCTAAAAGTTCAACCTCAATCCACTAAGAAGGGATTCTGACAAGTTTTCAAATGGACCTAGGTTCATATATTTTGGAAATTAGCTGATGGAGGGGTGGCAATATGTCTAACTAAAATTTTCCCAATAGAAAAAGCTATAAAAGTTTTATACCAATAATTATTAAATTATGTTTGTGTGAATTTAATGTTAATCAAATGTTTATAGCGTATATCTTTAATATGCAGTGCTTTCTTCCACTTAAATACTATTGTTATCTGAAAACCTTAAAAAAAAAAACCCAAAACTGTAGACCACTGGAAATGATTGTTCATCATACTGCCTTCCTAATAATGAGGCTATAATCTTAAAATTTCAAATATAGAGATGGCTTTTAAACAAAAAGATTTGACAGCTTAGAAGTGAAAATATAGCAAGTCATACACTACTAACTTTGGATTTGTTCCTCAATTCAAACTAAAAGGAGAAATGTCCTTATAGTTATTAATGTATGAGAAACATTCTCCAGGAAAACTTGTGTTTGTTTCCATAGGGAAAATGTTTGCCTTTTGAAAACTGTTCTGTTAGGGTGAGGTGGCTTTTCCTTTCTAAATGGAAATGCAAGAATAAAATACTTAATTGGAAAAAAAAAAAAAAGGAAATAGTTTTCCTAAAAGGAAGATGAAAATTTTCCGAGTTGGGTTTTTACATTTTGGAGTCTTTTGAGGAGTGCTGTACCCTACATCTCCCCAACAGGTTTGCCAAAATTGCACTCCTCAATAATAATGGGGTGGCTTTTATCAACGAGTATTCAATCCTTCCTTCAATGTAATTATCTGGCAGTGAATGAATTATGGACAGTGTGTATAGCAAATGTTTTGAACTTAGCAATCTTCTACTAGTCTTGATGATTCTGGGCATCTCTCCCTGTTAGTCTGCAGTTAGCACCACTTGACCATGCAGAGTTTGGTTTTGGTTGTTTTTCTTCTTTGTAATTCTGATCTCTAAAGACTGTTAATATGTGTTGTCTTCCCAACATCCATTCTTTCAGTGAGGCATATGTACACATTTCCAGACAAATAAACTGCAATCAGAAAAAAAAAATGTAAGGGAGTTCATTACATTTCTAGATTTTCAGAAGTTTGTATTTCCCATTAACTCTTTATTCTGTATTTGCATAAGTATATATATACTACCTTTAGAAAATGTTGAGTTTATTAACCAGAGCTTACAGAAGTTTTATATTAAATAGTAAAAAGATAGTCTGCTCTTCTTGGACTAAGAAAGCTACTGACCTGCAATCATCACCTCCAGCGCTGATAACATGTCGATTGCCATTGGTAAATTGAATATTTGTCACATGGGGTGAGTGACCCAAGAACCTTTTGTGCTTTGCCTAAAGAACAATGACAGACAAAACTCAGAACATTTTATTTAACAAAAATTAAAAGTTGTTATTAGGAACCATAAACTTTTAATCACAAGAACTATGGAGAGAGAAGGGAGTTAGGACCACACCCAATGATTAAAATTTTCTTTCAGAGACAGTAAAAAAAAAAAAAAAAAAGATTGTGCATTCCTTTGGTTTGTATCTCTGCTCCTTCATCTATTCCGATAACTCTTAAAAATTTGTTTTTTTCATGTTATCCCACAATTCTCGGGTGTTCCGTTCATGGTTTCTTACCATTTTCTCTGCATGTTCAACTCTACTTTTAATATTATACATTTTGTCTTCATTATCTGAGGTTCTATCTTTCAAGTGGTCTAGTCTGTTGGTGATGATTTCTACTGAATTTGTAATTTGGTTTTCTGATTCCTTCATTGAAGAATTTCTACTTTTTTTTTCACGATCTCTGGCTCTTTATTGAACTGATCTTTCACTTTCTGTACTTTTTCTTTGATTTCACTCCTTATACT